TATTTTATTCAGTTCTAGACTTGTGATAAGTCTAGATTCAATATTTTGATACATGATCATAGTTCATATGATGATATATGACATGAATCCATACCATATGTATTATGGGACATGAATATGAAAGAAAAAGTTATATGAGTTATATGATAAAGGTATGAAAATAATATGTCTACGTGATATAAATTAGATAAATTGTGAAAGCCCATATTATGTAAATGAGAACTATAGGTATAGTTGGCATGCCAAGGGTAGTGGGTCTATGTGGTCCTTCGGGACATATATGTATTCTTTGGAACATGTGTGAGGTCTGGTGAGACACATACTTGATCCTTGGTATATGTATATGATTCTTAAGGAATGATATGTGGTCCTTCAGGACATATATGTATTCTTTGGAACATGTGTAAGGTCTGGTGAGACACATACTTGATCCTTGGCATATGTATATGATTCTTAAGGAATGATATGTGGTCCTTATGGACATTATTATATGGCACTATGGTGCAATTCTACGTGGCACTTCGGTGTAATTATATGAGCTGTGGTGACAGCATAGTGCACAACCTCACAATACTCACATACGTTAGGTTCTCTGTATGGTACCATGGGCTAATGAACTTACTAAGGCGAACTTATGAATGTGAAATTGATAAGTATATGTGTAAGAAACATGGTTTTGGTTATTGCATTGTTTACATACATCTTATTATTGCAACCCATCTCATTTTGGCAATTACTTTATATTTATTGATATTATTATTATATTACCTCACTAAGTCGATGACTTAGCGTGTGAGTGTTTCACACGTAGGATCCGATAAAGTAGACGATCGAGGTTAAGCAGCTGGACAACATTACTCCTGCAACTATTAGATCAGAAGCAACTTAATCAGTAGGTCATTTTGTTATGAAAATGGATGTTGGCATGTAATTAAAGAGTTAAGTTGTGTATGCTCTGAATATTTTGGTAAACTTATATTACCATATGTATATTATTGTATTTTCGTAATATAAGTTCAAGTATTTTACTATTATTTGTAATGAGTTGTGTTTTAAAAGTCAATGTAATATCTCTGACTCGTATCCGGGTTGGATACGGGTTGGGGGTGTTACACATTTATTTTCGTGTTTTTATATATTCAAAAGCAATGTCGTCTTGTTTCGTTAACAAAATTACGTCAAACATAACTAGATTTCAATTTCCATGAATACACGTAGCAAGAGGACATCTTTTTAAATAAAGTGTAGTGAATTAAATCATTTTTCATTGAGTCAAATATTTTAAAAATAGATTCACTAAAAATTCATAAAAATAAAATGATCGTAATTTAAATTTTAAATTTAAATTAGTAAAGTTTCACTACTTAGATAACATATAATATATATATATTAATTTTGGGCGTTGATGGGTGTTTACCATTCCCTACGAAATTTTCCAAAATAAAATCATAATTATTTTAAATTAAATTTATTTATAAAAAGTGGTTATTACCACGTCAAAGATTCTCTCAGCAAAAAACGTTGGCTTTGCCCGTAAATTCCTTACAAATTAAAACGAAAAATAATAGCAACAGCAGTAGTTTCCCTTGTACAACTTGAATTCAACAGTGAACCTTGACTTGAATTTCGTTTGCTGGGGATTCAGTCGTCATCGTTAGAGTACTCGTTAGGGCAAACGTCCCAGACTCCATTCCAATACAACAAATCGCCCTACTTCCCCGTTGTAGGTAGAACTGACGTAAAATTTTATATTAGGAATTGAATTTAATTTATAAAATTTTAAAGAAAAAATATTTTTTTAATAAAAAATACATAACAAATTTAAAATATATATTAATTTTAAACTTTTAGAGGGTGCTTGGTTCAAGGATTGTGTGATTCCCATGGGATGAGAATCCCACATTCCCATGTTTGGTTGGCCGGGAATCTCATTCCCGGTAATGTTTTATTACCAATAGTAGATTTTTTAGGGTATATTACCGGGAATGTTATTACCTCTCTTCCTTTAAGTATTGTAACATTACCGGCGTTTTGGACTAAAATGCCCTTCAATTTTTATTTTTTTTCAAAAATATCATTATTCTGTCATTAAATAATAAAAATTCTACATAGGTTAAATTATAAATTTATCCTTAAATTATTTTAGATTTACAAAAAAAAATCTATAATTAAAATTTTATATAAAGTTTAGGGGTTAAAAAAATTACCTTTTCATTAAATCTTTTTTATATTTTTAATTTTGTAAAAAAATTATATACAACAACAACAACAACAACAACAACAACAAAATCCTATTCCCATATGCAATGGGGTAAGGGGGAGGTAGGGTAGTAGGCTGTCCCCCAACGCCAGGTTGAGAGCAGCTTCCGTGGAAGACCTCCGGCAGTAAAAAAAAATAAAGATAAAATACAATGCATGTTTAAATAAATAAATAAAATACTTATTTGAACAATCTTCATATGCAGTCCTCATATGCACGTCTGTAATGGGAAGTAATCCCTACAAATAAACCCCTGCGTAAAATTATCTACATATAGACAGAAACGTAAGACCCGACCAAAATTATAAATAGGAAACATGAAGAGCAGTATACACAGAATTCAACGATAGCAGACTTCGAGAAGGGATAAAGTCAAATGGGTTAAAACCTAAAACTAATACAACACTACTCCGCTACCTTAGTTCTAGTCCTTCATTAATTCCAATGACAGAAACGTATAAAAAGTATAAGTGATGAAATTACTACAAAAGCATTAAAAGAAGACAAAGATGATACATCCAATGGATGTGACTCGCCCTACTCGACTACCCTGGTCTTAAGTCGTCATAATTTCCTATCAGAGGTCATGTCCTCAGTAAGGGCTAAATCATTCAAATAAGATCTCAAGCAGTCTTCCCATTTCCGCCTTGGTCGACCTCTCATTCTGGTACCGTCGACTGAAATCGACTCTACCCTCTTAACCGCATCCGATGGTTGTCGTCTTTGGACATGCCCAAACCACCGTAGTCTTCCCTCCCTCAATTTTTCGGATACAGGCACCACCCCCAAGGACATCCTAATAGCAGAGTTTGGTGTCATGTCCCATAGAGTCCTACCACATACCCATCGAAACATTCTCATTTCTGCGGCCTCCATCTTCCTTACGTGATCCTTCTTGATAGCCCAACATTCTGATCCATACAACAACGCTGGTCTTATTGCCATTCTATAAAATTTTCCCTTAAGTTTTAGAGGTACCTTCTTGTCACACAAAACTCCAGTAGCAGCCCTCCACTTTAGCCATCCCGCCTTTATACAGTGTGAAACGTCTTCATCTACACCCTCATCTTTACGTATCATAGACCCTAGGTACTTGAAACAATATATAAATATTTTACAATTTGTAATATCATACAAATATATAATAAGAACAATTTGGTCAAATATACATTCTAATAATCTTTTATTCCTTTAACCAAACACGGTAATCTTACATTCCTGCTAAACCAACCAAACACAAAATACAATATTCCCAGTAATCCTATTCCCTGGTAATCTTTTATTCTCACTGGTAATCTTACATTCCGTGAATCAAACACACCCTTAGGGGCATTGCCCTCGTCCCTCGGTCCATCCTTGGCTGAGGTGCCAATTTCATTAAAAAAACCAGTTTTCTAATTTCAAAAATGGTTCAGTAATATAAAACTTACAAGTCAAGAAAAACTGCTTCTTGTCTTTCCCCTATGTAAACCTCAACAGGAAACTCATTCACAACTCGACCGCCCGAAATCTGAAACAACAAGGGAAAGAGATTTCAAATATAATTAGTATGTATAAACACAGAGCAGGGGCATCCAAAAAAAGTGAGTAAAGAAGTTACAAATTTCATGCCCAGGATAGAAGAGCAATAATTACAATAGGAATTCACCACTGGTCGACCATAGGAAGTCAAAACAGTCGTTGTAGATCCGAACCGCATATTAACACTACATATCAATGAAGCACGTTTCGTTAATTACTGTCCTTTATTACGTAATTAAATGTAGCAAAAGGTTGTCGAGTTGTTTGACGGACGATATCTCACGGTGCGTTGGCGTTGCAGATAATTCCATCCAAGTCCACTCCATCCGGCACCGTCCATTGGATCTAAAAATTTGAGTCAAAGAAGAATTACACTCACAGATATATATATATATATATATAGATAGAGATAGAGATAGAGAAGGAGAGATGATACTCGGAAAAAAATTGTTCCCGATTACATTGAGGATGTGGTTGCCGCAAAAACTGCATAAGAAGAAATGAGTTTTCTCATCCAACGGAAAGCTAACGGTGTTTGGAGGTGCCGCCATTGGGAATGGAATGAGGAAGTGGAGGGAAATCTAATTCTAACATCGGTTCCTGCAAACACGGCATAGGAAAGAAGTTATATTTCTCATTTCTCACGCACATATTCAGTTGAAACGAAGAGGCAAGGTGAGATTTCTTGATTACCAGTTATGATCTTTTTTTAAAATGGATTTGAGCAACGAGAGGTTTTTTACTTTCTTTGGTTTTGTTTATATAAACGATATGAGAAGTGAAGCAGATAGCTGAGTTCTTTTCCGTTGTAACCGTTTTTCTTTTTGGCGGGAAATGTGTGCTGATGGGTGCATATTTAGTTTACATAAGAACCCTTCGTTATAAATCACCATTTACTTATTTATGCAACTTAATGTTGTTGGGATAAAGAGAGGCGTATTGAAGGTTTCCTGGAAGAGACATTCAAGATAGCCAAGGCAACAGGGTTACTGGTTTTATGAAATAATCCAAGTTAATTCTACTTACCGTAACAATAGAGGTGCCAGATAATTCATCTTCTACATCTTTTAGTCAAATCAGACACAAGGTTATACACAAATGAACCCAGTGTTCGAAATCGTGCAAAGCTAGTAAATCAAAAAGGCTTGAGAATATGTATGCATACATTCAATTTGAGAAATAACTACGGCGTAATTGCACCCTATCAGAGCCTTGCATGCTAAGATCCAACAGGAGCAACGCCTTTTGCTTTAGATGTAGTAGTTACGGCGGCGGCGGCCGCAGCTGCTGCAGCAGCGGCTGATGCAGCTGGACTTGAACTTGACGATGCTGGTTTGGACTTAGGTTCATTCTGTGATACAATCATCTCTTCACGCTGTTCTTGTTGCCGTTGCTGAGAGTTTACCTGTGCAAGCAGAGCCTTAATCTGAGCTCCTGTGAGTGTCTCATGCTCAAGCAATGCGTTGGCAAGCGCATGATGTTCTTTGCTGTAGGTAGTGAGGATGGTTTTTGCATTGTTATAAGCCCTTTCCATTAAGTACTTCACTTCTTTCTCTATAATATGCCTAGTCTCCGAGCTCAAGCTCTGACCATCATCATTATAAGAATGCGTAGGAGTCTCACTTCTTTACTCATGCCATACTTCGTAACCATAGATCTGGATAATTTAGTTGTTTTCTCAAGATCAGAGCAAGGACCAGAAGTGACTTCATTTTCTCCAAAGATGAGCTCTTCTGCAACCCACCCACCCAAGGCAACATCAAGCCTCGCAAGCATCTGTTTTCGGGAGAAGCTTGTTTGATCCACATCAGGTAACTGGGACACCATGCCAAGAGCCATCCCTCGAGGGACTATTGTTGCTTTGTGAACAGGAAGTGCCCCATCCGTATGGATAACAACAAGGGCATGGCCAGCCTCATGGAAAGCTGTCAATTTTTGTGACTCTTCAGAAATGACAGCCGACTTACGTTCACTGCCCAATATGATCTTGTCCTTTTCATACTCCAGATCAGCCATTATCACATCTTTAGCACCATGCATTGTAGCAATCACATCATCAACATTGACAAGATTTGCAAGATCAGCACCGGAGAATCCAGGAGTACTTCTAGCAATGATCATCAAATCAACATCAATGTTCCTCCATGATCCGGGTGTCCTCACAGTCTGGCACCGGGATATTGTCATTTCTTCTCAATCTTCGTCACTCCACATAATCCAAAGTAAGCATGTTTCTGGCAGCTACAACATCCATCCAGAATATTTTCTTCTATGAAACGACTGATTTCTTGATCATCTTCTTATAACTGTCACAGTGATACCCAAACTCTGATCTAGCAAGTCCATATGTTATTGGGACAAACTGACGTGCCTCATACTGTCTAAGTGCTAACAATGGAGCATACCCAACTGCATCCCAAAGTCCAAGTAAGGTCATAGTGTCAGAATCCCCACATCGGAAAAGAACGTCACCGAGGAACAACCAGGGGGCTCTCTAGGTAATATCCCGATCCTGAAGATGTGTAAAGACTTTCATCCACTTTTCCTTTGTAGTGCCTTCATGTCATTTCATAGTGATGAACTCTTCCAAAGGTGAATAGGTGGTGCTAAATCGGCGGTAGGCGTTAGTCTTCCAGAAGTGACTGTGAATCCATACTTGAAGGAGCTGAACACACCCAATGAACCTTCCTCCACCAGTTCTTCTGCAATGGTTGAGAGATCGAAATGTTTCGGCTAAGATGGTCGGTGCTGGGTTGACTCTCTTCGGAAGTTGTTCAAACAGCTCTACCACAGCAGCATCAATGTATCCCAAAGTCTTCGGAAATATAATCAGACCATACAGACCCAGTGCAAAAATACCTTCCACTCATTGGGATAGTTCTTCATCAGTTGCTTGATATGAAGCCAAGCATTCCTTTCCCACTGCATTTCCATCAAGTCCGGTCAATTACCTATTTTTTGTCAACCCCGAAAACCTTGGCCAATGCATTCTTGAAAGGCTGACTTTTGATGTGTTTAATGTAAGCTCGCTCTAGTTTGATGCTTTCACAGTCCAGCAATGTAGTGTATTCTTCAATGGTGGGTACCATGTCCACCCGATTAAAAGTGAAGCAACTGTATCTCGGGTTCCAGAATTGAACCAAGGCCCTGATCAAGGGCTCATCAGTTTTAACATGAAGGAAAAGTGCAATGTCACTAACCAGCTTTGACACAGCTTCCTTGAAGACTATCTCCCTTTTCCTTCTGGGTCTTCTCGGACCATATTCGTTCCTCGGGGTTTTCAATCTCTTGTATTACAACACCTTTATCCGTTAATTCAGATTATTTTATGTGTAATAAATACCTTTTTAGGGATCAATGGCCTCTTGTTATGATGCAAATACTACAAAACAAACACAAAGGCAAAAAGTTAGCAAACTAATAACAGTAAAAAAATGATGAAAGAAAGCATGAAAAGTAAAAAGAAAAAAACATGGTTAGGGTAAAAATATCCTGGGTTTTGGAATGTGGTTTCGGGGTAGGCTCTAAATCTCCATAGTCTCCCGGTTTAGGTTCTAAAAAATAGTACCCGAGTTCTACTTGTCGGCGCCCCCTTGGGCTTACCAGACCCTTAGTCCTAAACCCATCACAGGCTTGTGTGGACTAAGTTAAACTCGAGAGGACACATTACTTTATGTCTATGCGGTGAATAAATTCACACGAAGACATAAGGTATATAAATCCCGAAGGCTACTTGCTAGGCCTGTGCGGTGAATAAATTCACACTAAGGCGTTTCTTTCACCCCCAGTTAAATAAGGTTCGGTGCTTGGGTTTAGAGCCTTAAGTGAAAAACAAGCTTTGAAGGCTGAAATAATTAGAAAATGATTAGTATAACTATTTACTCGAAAATATAATCAAAAGTAAGCAATAAGGATCGAAATGTTACCTTAAAGTTTAAACTTACCTTTTTCGTTAAAAAGACAACTGAAAATTACCTTAGCCTGACTCACTTACCTGTTTCCCCAACGGAGTCGCCAAGCTGTCGGAACCGTCTTTTGGTTGGGCCGAGAATTAGGCTTCGACTTGGAAAAATGGATTAGGAGTCGCCATCGATCATTTATTTAAAAATAAATAGGTTGACCGGATACCTTATTTCTTACATGATCTGCGTCTTTCTAAAGATGTGTCGGATTCGGGAGTCGGTTACAGTCAAAGAAGGGTTAGTACCCTTGAACTGCCCTTTCGGTACTACGTAATTTTCAGTTTTCTTTATTAAGAAAATTGTAAATTTAAAATTCAAAGGTAAAATAACGATCCAGATTTCTTACCTTAGACTGGTTTGAAAGTGTACCCTTAAAAGTCAAAAGATGTGTTAGATAGAAAAAAATGAAGAAAAATAATAAATGAAGTAAAGAATGAATGAAATAAAATAAAATAATGAAAAATACGAAAAGGGAAAACAAAAGAAAAGATAAAACTAATAAAATAAATAAAAAAATGAAGGAAAAATAATAACAAAACAATATAACAACTACATAAAAAATACTAAGATAATGCAAATAAATAAATAAACAAAACAAATATAAGGGAGATAAAAATAAATAAAAATAAATAAATAAACAAGAAAAAAGAAATATATATAAAAAAGTAAAAATAGAAAGATAATAAAAATAATAAAATAATAATAACAATAAGAAAAAAGGTAATATAATATAAATAAATAGAAAACTAAAAATATAGAAATATAGAAAATAAAATAGAAAATATAATTAAATATGTATATATAAACTATAATGATAAAATATATAATAGTAATTAAACGTAATATATATATATATAAGAAATATGAAAAATAAATAAATGAAAATTAAAAACTAAAATGCAAATTGAATCGGGGACTAAATCAAAAGAAAATCAAAGTCAGAGGCCATTTCAAAAACAAATTCGGGATAAAAATTAAATATTTCAAAATCAGGGGGACTGAACTACGATTTTCCATTTGTGCTTAAAAAACATACGAGTTACGTATAATATGGGTTGGGTCGGTCATCGGGTCTAATGGGCTTAATATATAAGCCAATTGTTTTTTGAAATATTTCATTTGCTTTATTCTCTCAAACAAAAAGCCCCTCCCCTCTTATTTTCCTCTCATCTGTTCATTAATGGATGAACAGTCGCCTGGGTTCTTGATGAACGGTCGCATGGTTTCTTGATGAACCCAGAATCCGACCACCGCAGAACCGCCTCGCCGTCGCCGTTGATCGACACCGGCCTCCAGTAATCGACGGCGATTTTTTTTTTTAAACTTCTCTTCTCTTTTTTTAGAAAACCAAAAGTGTTTTTAAAAATAGGCCTCCGGGGATGTAGATCTTAAAAACAAATCTCAAAAAATTCCCCCATGGATCCTTGGTCGAACCCTCCTTAGGGTTTTTGTGTAACCGAATGGCAAAAGCAAACCTCATTGAAGCCACATACATGCAAAAAAATCCAAAAAGGTATGAACTTTTTACCTTTCTTTTCGAAATATTGCAAGAAACCTTCAATTGTTCTGAGCCTTGGTGTAATTTCTCTTGTTATTTCGTATGAAATCGTAGTAATACAAATGGTCGATTGCATGTCTATTTATACACAAAGTGTATACTATTTTTAGCCTAGATTGAGTCCTAACCGAGCTCTACTGTGGTTGTTTTGGGTTTGTTGGTGATGAGGTTACGTGTGCTTCCCTTGTGCCGGAGTATTCGAGGTTGATCGAAATAAATGATCGGTTAGAGAGTCCTTGCGCATGAGGGTTGCAACGCTGGTGGACTTCAAACAAGGAACAGTGCTAGGGTTTCTAGAAACCCCTGGGTGCTTGGGTTTGGCTTGGAGCGGGCTAGCTGACGGGTCACGTGATTGGACCTTGTTTGGGCCACTGTTGGACTGTTTTATTTTATTTTGGGGACTGTAAAATGTAAAATAGAAAAAATAAATAATAAATAATAATATATATGTTTATTATAATATATGTATATATATGTAACACATAAATAGATGAAATGTGGGTGTCTACAACTATTAAAAATGATCTCTTGCTATTCATTGTGTTTGAAACTAATCATTTCTCGTTAAAAAATTAATTTCAATTTGAGTTGAACATTAACATGTTAGTTATGAATTGTCCGTCCAGCTCAGTTGGTAGAGCGCAAGGCTCTTAACCTTGTGGTCGTGGGATCGAGTCCCACGGTGGGCAATTCATAATTCTGACTGCCGGAGGTCTTCCACGGAAGCTGCTCTCAACCTGGCGTTGGGGGCAGCCTACTACCTTACCTCCCCCTCACCCCCATTACATATGGGAATAGGGTCAGCTAATTTATTAACATGTTAATTATGATATGACATAATCTGATCCTAAAATCTCAAATGATTATCGTTTCCCAGTCAATAGGTTAACATATAACACAAACTGTTATTATTTTTAACGAAAAATGATGAGTTTGGAACACAATGAACAATCAGATAACCGTTTTACAATTTTTAATTGTCGAGATACTCAACAAAACATCTTATAACTAAAAGATCATTTTATATCTTTTAATAGTCAAACAACTCAACAAAATAATGTCCTATAATCTTTAAATAGATTGATTATATTTTTTAAGTCAAATTGGTTTTAAATTCAATGTTTAATCGAACTTAAATTAAACATCAATTAGATATTAAATCAAATCAGAGAAGACCGGTATTTAGAATCAACTCGACTATTCATCTTATGTAAGAGTGATTTAAACAAGAAAAGATATATGGTAGCTATAATCTTATTTATTTTTGTTTAAATTTTAAAATTTCAAACTCTAAACTTTATATATGACTCGTGACATTTAAATAAATAAAATCATTGAATATATATTTTACACATATATCATTTTTTATAAATAATTTAGATATTTTATATGCATTAAAAATCACATGAAACTTGGGTTTTGTAATACTTGTATGTGTATATATTGGAAAATTCTTTTAACAAAGCCCAAAGAAAACTGATCCAGTAAAAAAAAACTACCTGAACCCTTCTTTCAAATCAAGTTACTTCAGACCAACCCAAATTATTATCTGTTAATAAAAACTATTAATTTAGATTTGATTATAAGATATATGCCAGTTTAAAGTATTTGTTTAATACAAAGACAAAGACCCAGCTTTTGGATTGGACTTGATAAAGATTATAAAA